CTTGAGCCATAGGCGCCGAGCCTTAGGGCATACTTTTATTTTACAGATTAAGAAACTTGGGCTGAATGTGGTGGCTCTCACTTGTAGTCCCAGCCTTTTGGGAGACTGAAGTGGGAGGATAGCTTGTGGGTAGGAGTTTGAGACCAGCCCAGGTAAAATAGCACCCTGTATCTACAAAAAATAAAAAAATTAGGCTGGTTATAGTGGCTCATGCCTGTAATCCCTGCACTCTGGGAGGCTGAGGCCAGTTGATTACCTGAGCTCAGGGGTTTCAGACCAGCCGGAGCAAAGCAAGACCCCATCTCTACAAAATAGGAAAACTGGCTGAGTGTTGTGGCAGGTGCCTGTAGTCCCAGCTACTTGGGAGGCTGAGACGAGAGGATCGCTTGAGCCAAGAGTTGGAGGTTGCTGTGAGCTATGATGCTATAGCACTTTACCGAGGGTGACAAAGTGAGACTTTGTTTCCGAAAAAAAAAAATTAGCTGGGTATGGTGGTGAGCAGCTGAGTTGTCAGTTACTGGGGAGGCTGAGACAGGAGGATTACTTGATCTCAGGATTTTGAGGCTGCAGTGAACTTTGATGATGGTACTGTACTCTAGCCTGGGCAATGGAGTGAGACAACAACAAAAAGATACTTGGAGGCCTACTTACTTCCTCCCTCGTGTCATCCTGGTGGATACCCCTGGTTTGTTGTTTCTTCTCCAGAGCTTGCCACCTTTTCTGGGTGCAAAGGGTAGTAATTTACCAAAGTTGTCTCAGGAAACCCAGGTTCCTGAGAAATGAACCTAGTGGCTACTTCCCAGGATCAGCTGGCAAGAGATACAGGGAAGCGGGGGCTCATTATGAGCTGCTGCCCAGGCCTGCATCTCTCTGGGTTCTGTGTGTGTGGTGCTCTCCTTTCCACAGCATTTGGGTTCTGGCCTGAGACGAAACTTCTCTTTTATTTGGGGCACAGCATGTGGAAAAAATGATCCTGTGGAATGTGCTGAGGCTGGATAGAGGGAGCTGGAACTTAATTCTTGGTGTATTCTCTCTT